TAGTGTCCTGCAACACTAGAGCTGAGTGAGTGTGGTTAATGATAATTGATTGTATGCTTTGGCTGGGCATGGTGGCTCACATCTGATCCCAGCATTTTGGGAGGCCAAGGTGGGTGAATCACCTGAGGTCAGGAGTTCAAGACCAGCCTGGCCAACATGGAGAAACCCTGTTTCTGCTGAGAAAATACAGAAATTAGCTGGGTGTGGTGGTGGGCGCCTGTTGTCCCAGCTACTTGGGAAGCTGAGACAGGAGAATCACTTGAACCCAGGAAGCGGAGGTTGCAGTGAACTGAGATTGCACCACTGCACTCCAGCCTCTGCAACAGAGCAAGACTCCATCTCAAAAATAGTAATAATGATGATAATTTATTATATGTTTTAAAAAAGGTAAAAGAGAGGATTTTGAATGTTTACCATGCTAAGAAATGATAAATATTTGAGGTGATGGTTATGCTAATTACCTTGATTTGATCATTACACATTGTATACATGTATAAAATATCATTCTGTGTTTCATAAATGTGGACACATTATGAATTATGAAGTCTCAACTGAAAATAAAATGAAACTAATACATTTCAGATTTGAAAGAGCTAGTTCAACAAAAAAATATAAAATAGCTCATTATTAATTTCTTCTATCTCTTACATATTAAATTGATAACATTTGGCATATATTGGGTTAAGTAAGTTATTGCATAAATATTAGTTTTACTTGTCTCCTTTTACATTTTGAATATGGCTCTCATAAAATTTTAAATTATAGACCAGCCACAGTGGCTCATGTCTGTAATCCCAGCACTTTGGGAAGCCAAGGTGGGCAGATCATTTAAAGACATGAGTTCAAGACCAGCCTGGTCAACATGGGGAAATCCACCTCTACTAAAAATACAAAAATTAGCTGGGTGCAGTGGCACACACCTGTAGTCCCAGCTACATGGGAAGTGGAGGCAGGAGAATTGCTTGAACCCATTATGCAGTTTCTCAAGTCCTCCTGTGTTTCACGTGATACTTGTACTGGTTCTAGAGAAACCTTGAGTGAGCTGTCTCCCTCACATAATGTTGGAAAGATATGCCACCTGGATTTCTGGCCCATTTTAAAGTTTTGAATATTTTGTTCTTCACAGAAATAGATAATTTTAATTTTCTTTATTTTTTATAATGTTACACCATTTCTAAAGTAAATAAGCATTCATTTTATAATCTGAAAAAGATTATTTTTCAAGGCCTTCTGAATATTGGAACAAAGCACCTAAGTCAGGTTAGGAGATAAAAAGCACAGAAAGCAGGATTGTGAAAAGGACTCAGGGCCTGGTGTGGTGGCTCATGCCTGTAATCTGAGCACTTTGGGAGGCCGAGGCAGGCAGATCACCTGAGGTCTGGAGTTTGAGACCAGCCTGGCCAACATGGTGAAACCTCATCTCTACTAAAAATACAAAAAATTAGCCGGGCGTGGTGGCGGGCACCTGTAATCCCAGCTACTCGGGAGGCCGAGGCAGGAGAATTGCTTGAACCTTTTAAGGGTGTGAGGGCAGAAGTTGCAGTGAGCTGAGATGACGCTGTTCTACTCCAGCCTGGGCAAAAAAAGCAAAACTCTGTCTCAAAAAAAAAAAAAAAAAAGAAGAAAAGAAAAAGAAAAGGACTCAATGGCACTTTCAGCTATGTTAGCTCAAAAGTCCTCCTGTGAGTTATTTTCACTAATGATGTTATGCAGCCAAGCATCTCTTAAAGTCTATTTCAGAGAAAATGAGAGAGGCCCCAGGCGTGAACTGTAAAAGCATTGTCTGGATGAAAAGGAGCTTCACTGTATGTCTCTGAGGAAAACACCCTCCCAACTAGTTATCAAACTGGACAGCCTAGGACTAATCCTGCAGGTAAGTCAGGGAACCATGTGAGCTTGAGTGGCAGAGTTGTGGAGAAGGTGGAGAGATCCACAGATGCTACATAAGGTTCCTGCAACTTTGGATGCCGCCTGAGATTCCTAAGGGTCCTCAGATCCCAGAGTTGTTATATTTGTATCTGGTCCTACAGTCTATACATAACAGACCTTGCAGATTCTGACCAACTTCTATGGGTAACACCTGTCCCAGAGGTAGCCTCTTTAAGGGTAATTTCATTTTGCTGGTATTTGGGTGAAATTCAGGTATACAAAAGCCAAGACACTGAGATTTGTGTTCTAGCCTCCTGCACTTGTGTTCCCTACGATTGACAATGTAAAACTTCTCCATACACAAAAATAAATGTTACACATTTAGAAGTCAAGGTCATTCATCATCTCAAATCTAATCCATTAGATTTCCCAAACTATGAGCATTTTCTCTAAAGTAGGTAACATACAAATAAGTAATAGGATCCCTAACCACTTGGGTCTTCAGGAGGGAGGACATAACTCAGGCAGAAAAAATAGTATTTATATGAATTGTAAAACTAAAGTGGCAATTTCTTGGAAAAATAAATGATCGTCTCTATTTTTTTTTTAAAGGGAGAGTACAAATTCTTTAGTTAGACATAATGGCAAAAGTAATTTATTCACGTGTCTTCTCTTTGATTTTTGAACTTGAATCAACTGCCAAGATTTTCAAGTTCACTTAGCAAAATGTAGACTAGCTGAAGTTGAGACTACTTCACCGAGATGTGTTTAATAAACAAACTAAAAGGACGGTGTTCTCTCTGTCCATGCCCCTGTTCTTAGGAGCAGAACAGAGTAGCTCAAGCAGCAGTTTTTGAATTGCATAAGCTCAGCTCCACGCAGATTGGTTGAACACGCTTTGCTTCCTCTTACTTCTATTTTCACTAGCCTAACTCCATTAGTCCTGTGGGCCTCTTCCTTTCTCCTAGCCTTTTATGGAGCCTCTATCTTCCAGTGTTCTATTTCTGTGGTTCTCAAAGTATGGCCTAAAGACTTTTAGAGTACCCCAAATCCTTTTAAGGACCTTTGAGAGATTTAAAAAATTATAATAATATTAAGATCTTACTTACTTTATCCACTGTGCTAAAATTTGCCCTGAAAGTGCAAAAACAGTAGGAGTGAAACTGCTACCTATCATGAATCAAAGTAGTGGTCCCAAACCATGCCAATAGTCATTGCATTTCTCACCACCATGCATTCCACTTAAGAATGTTCTGGATGAAACAGTAAAAATTATTAATTCAATGAATGTTGACCCTTAAGTACATTTCTTTTTAATATTTCATGTGAGGAAATAGGAAGTTCACCAAAGCACTTCTGCTGCATAACAAAGTACTACGGTGGTCTCAAGAAAAAATATATGCACCGAATATTTTGCCCTGGTATATGAAAATCCATTAGTTTATACAGACTGAAATGTAGTAGTCTACTTTGAGTGAGTCTTTGACTCATGTTCCACATTTTGTAAAAGCATGCATTTATCATTTGGAAAATATTGGTTCACAGAGTTTTACAAGTCTTCAAAATGTTGACTCATTAAACTTGAGATTCCGTGAGTTTATCTATCACTGATAGAATTTTTGTGGAACAATGAGAGAGAATATTCACAATTATATGAAAAGGGTATTAAAATCCCACTACCTTTGCAAGCTATATATTTGTGTACATCCTCATTTTCTTCATATATGTCAACCAAAAGAACATAACACAACAGATTGAATGCTGAAGCAGATATGATCATCCAGATGTCTTATATTATTAAACATCAGGCAGATAAAACATGTAAACAAATGACTCTAAGTCCTCAATCATTTTTAAAATTATAGAGTGGTCTTTAGACCAAAATGTTTGAAAACTTATGATCTGGTCTAATCCTGTCTCATTCTGGAGACCTTTGTTCATGCCTCCTCTGATGTTATCTAGCACAATGCTTTTTGAACTTCAATGTGTATGCTGTCTACCTGTGGAAAATGCTAAATAAAATGTGGATTCTGATGCAGTCCCTCTGGGCTGAGGCCTGAGCTCCTGCTTTTCTAACAGCTGCCCAGAAGATTCCAATGCTGCATGGCCATAGGTCCTACCTTAAGTAGCAAGGGTCTAACACATCCCTCACATAATCCTATCATTTCCAGCCTTGTGACATTTGAGTTACCTTACTTCTATTATTATTATTGTTGTTGTCATTACCACCATTATTATTGTATCTTATGAAAATATTATCAAATTGTTGTCAGAAACTGTGCTAAGAACCTTATATGTATTTTCCCATTAGTGTTTACAGCATTCCTGTGACATAGGTTCCATTGCTATCTACAGCTCAGGAGACTGAGGAAAGGTAATTTGTCAAGATCTGGTACTATGCCCGTTTGACTCCATGGCCAATGCTACTAACTACTACATTATAGGAACTTACATCATTTTAATTCCTGTAATTTACTTTCATTTGTATATACCTTGCTTGCCTTTCAGTTTAGATTATATGCTCCATGGGATCAAAACATAAGTATTATCTCAGCCATCTCTGCATTTTGCCCAGTGATCTGTTCAAATGGTGATGAACAAATAAATCATCATGAATTCTCATGTAACCCTGGGAATCCAAAGTTGTTCCTGTTTATCTATCTTTAGTAGGATATAAACTCTGGATTATTTATTTATTTATTTTTAAATTTTATCATTTTTTTGAGATGGTGTCTTGCTCTGTTGCCCAGGCTGGAGTGCAGTGGTGTGATCTCGGCTCACTGCATGCTCTGCCTCCCGGGTTCACACCATTCTCCTGCCTCAGCCTCACTAGTAGCTGGGACTACAGGCGCCCATCACCACTCCTGACTAATTTTTTGTATTTTTAGTAGAGATGGGGTTTCACCATGTTAGCCAGGATGGTCTCGATTTCCTGACCTCATGATCTGCCCCCCTCGGCCTCCCAAAGTGCTGGCATTACAGGGGTGAGCCACCGTGCCCAGCCTGGATTATTTAAATATTCAGTAGTGATGCTGGATCTGATGAATTTCTATCCTTTTTCTCTAGCTCCTTTGGCCCAAAATGTAGGTCCATGATGTCTTATAAAGGTATTTCCTGAGTACACAGCATGGTTGAACATTTACATTTCTTCTTAACTAATTAATTAATTGGCAATATGTAAAAATGAGGAAATTTTACAAAAAATCCAGATCAATCGCTGTGGCTGAAATGGAGTCTCAATTCCATTTCAGATGAGTTGACTGGAAATGAGAAGCAGTAGCTCTCTTTAGCAGGTTCATGCTCTCCTGCTTGGTACAGGGCCTGGTTTCACCATCCTTGCCTCCACTCCTCAAGTGTCTTCAGTCATTTAAATTTGTGTCCCCAATTTTAGGACACAGGCATGCTTTCATAAATATTTTTCTTTTCACCGCCAGACAAAACATAAGTCAAAGAAGCGGTTATTATATTAAAGTCATTTCTACAAAATTCCTGACAGTATTTTTTTTAAAGATCAGCTTAAATCTTTTCTTGTTGAAGTTTCATAATTGCCATGTTCTTCAAGGTCTCTGCAGAGGATCCCTAGCAGCTAATTCTCCTCTCTGAGGTTTTGCCTTGAGAGGGAAGGAAAATGAAAGCAGAAAGAAAATTATCACTAGGAAGAGTTAAGAAGGGACTAAAGTTTGGGAAATGGCATGGAATGACAATGGGAGATGAATGAATGAAGGAGAATAGACAGAGTCTTTCAAAACTGGGTATTGTTGAAAGTTATCCCTTCTTTTCTTTTGAAGTTCAAAATCATGATTTGTAGTTTGTACCTGAAAGAACAGCTTTTTGAAGGCCCAGGGTCAACTTTGCCTTTCTCTTAAAAACTTCATCAGGAGAGCCAAGTGTACCCTTAAGGGGGAAGAAAATAGCAACAATTAGCATTTGTATGGGTTTCTTAAAGTTTATAGAGCTCTTTTACTTACCTTAACTCATTTGATCCTCACTACAATCTAGTGAGTAGGTATTATTACCTTTCTATTATAGATAAAGACACCAAGGTTTGAAGCTTCATCTCACTGGCTCAAGGACACTTATCTATTAAGTAGATAGAATAATCTAACCACATCCTTTGCTCCTTCAATTCTCCACAGTAGGTTATTGGCATAAAACCATGATGAATGCATACAGTTAAGTTGCATATTGGACTAGAGATCATTGAGATTAAGAACACTAACTTTTAACTCTGAATCTCCATAAAAACACTTAGTAAATATTTAATTAATTTAATCTAGGTATTACATTTAACGTAATTCTTTTTGTCACTGCAGTTAACTGTACTTAGGGAGGCTTGCTTCTATCTATTCTCAGCCCATCTTTGCTTGAAGTTACTTTTATTTCTTCTATATTTATGCTTATTAAATAAATGATATATAAGTGGAGAACCAATGGCAACTTCATTGCCTTCTAGTTTTTAGTCCGGTTTCTAATGAAGGTGTGTGTATTGTGTGTGTGTGTATATTGTGTGTGCGCATATGTATGGGGTAGAGGGAGACTGAAGCCAAAAATCAAGCTTTATACATATACATGCATTTACCCTTATTAGAATTTGGCCTATAGCGTTTCTTTTTCATGATTAAAGTTCAAGACTACCCTAGCCAGCGTGGCGAAACCCCATCTCTACTAAACATATAAAAATTAGCGAGGCATGGTGGTGGGCACCTGTAATCCCAGCCTCTTAGGAGGTTGAGGCAAGAGAATTGCTTGAACCCAGGAGGTGGAGGTTGCCCTGAGCGGAGATCATGCCATTGCATTCCAGCCTGGGGAACAAGAGCGAAACTCCTCAAAAAAACAAAAACAAAAATGAAGGAAATTCTGGGGTAAGATAAAGGATTGTGGAGACTCAAGTTCTTATTTGCAGAGGAAGCCTTCAGGTCGTAGGACTTCAGGGAGAAGAGGCTGTAAAATGTTTCTATCAGACTTAAAGTCTGTGTTGATGTTAATCCTGGAGAGGTATAATGAGGCATCATATCCAACCCCACTTCCCATGATGACCTGAAACAGTCCTTCAGGTTAAATTTTAAAAGAACCTTGGCTTAGGAAGATGCTCTTTCAGATGGTTGGGGGGGTCTTAGAATTTTATTTGTGGTTCACAGTGAGGAGAGGGCCTTGCCTCCCCACCCTTATTCAATCTGTGTCTTCTATTCCTTCATATGGACAATTAATACTTTCTAATAATTCATAAATTTATGTGCACACTTAATGGCAATTTCTTAGATCCCATTTCTTACTAAATTGCCATCCTTAGGGCTCTTCTGTAGAAATTTTGGAGTCCGAATTTTCTTTAGTCCCAAATGGAAGCTCAGAGACATAACTGTGCATCTTCCTATGGCTGCCACCCAGGCTTCCTGAGAAATTACCCCTCTCATATGGCTGTGTCAAGGACCTCATTACAAAACCACACACGGATCTAGACATAACCTTAGAAGGTCTGAGTCTGGCAAAATCACATTGTACCTGTGCTACTCTTTGGGCTTAAATTTTTGTCCCTTTCCCACACCTCGTTGATAAAATTGCGTAACATTTAGCAAATGTTTACCAGGTGACAAATGTTTTGCGTACTTTGTCTCTAATCCTCATAAATCCCATGCAACAATATAATTATCCCTGAGTTATAATGACAGAGTTTAGATTCAGAAAGGATGAATAGTTAGTTCCAGAACAGAATTTGACTCCAGTTCTGCTCCATTCCCAATCATGTGTTTTTCCTAATATATCATGCTATTGCAGCTTTCTGGTCTTTTTCTGGCTACAATTAACATCTGTGGACCCAAAGCAATTCATCACCAGTAAAATCCAGAGCAATCAGCAGATGCTTCTTCCTCAGAATCAAGGTCTATCTAGCTTGCTTACTGACTATCCTGCCTCAGGCCTCCCTGCCTCTCTCTGCTTTACATGAAGAGACCCAACCTATTCCTGGGCATGGTGCTTGGATCCTCTGCAAAAGCTGGAATTCTGGCATTGGCTCTCATGAGTTCATTCTGAACACACTTTGCATAATAATGATCAGTATGATTGATAACCAGCAGTTAACAGGAATTTCCTAGGACACTCCACTTCACTCACGTTTCATCACACAAGTCCTCACATAAAAAATGCCAGTCTTTTTCCATGCAATTCCGGATTTTTGAACAGGAGTAAACCCTACAAAATTATTTCTTCTGACACTTTACTCTGTAGATGACTAAGCCAAGGCTTAGCGAGGTGACGTGACTTTATTCACATGTGCTGAGTAGACAGTGGAGGAGGACTAGAATGCAGGTCTCCCAGCTCACCATACAGACCTCTTTCCAGAAACCACACTGAATCCAGAGGACTCCTGTGCAGCCTTTGCCCAGGTGACTCATCTCTGCCTCTCTCCTGGTCCCAGCTGAACCAACAGCCAACATGGCCATGGGATTTTTCCCAGTCTGAGTGGAAAGCCTGGTGAATGATGAATGTTGATCTAGAGCCCACTGTCCCTGATGAAACTGGAAGGTACCCTGCTGTCAGACAACCTGGTTAGCAATCCAAACAGCAGGGGATAGAGGGTCCTGTCAGCTAGAGACTGTCCTCCTGCTGGCAAGCTAAGAGCCTGGAGGCAGTTACATTGTATTTTGTCTCAGAAACAAACTTTCAAGTGATCTGAAGCCAAAACTTACTGAACTGCAGAGCAAACAGTGCAGGGCTCTAGTTTAGACGTTTTTCTTCTCTTGTCACTGAGAATTTTGAGGTTGGTTTAAAACAAACAAACAAACAAATCTGGAGGAGCAGGAGTGACAGTAGCTGGGACTCATTTTGAAGAAAGTTGGGTGAGAGAAGAGCCCAGTGGAAGACTTGCTTTTCATCTGTGACTGGGGACTTGGGCTGTATTCAGGTGGCCCTCATTTTAACTGCGGGATGCTGGAGAGTCAGGTCACCTCTTCAGGCCGTAACTTTTTCAGTGACAGAACGAGGAGCTCAGGCCAAGCCATCACTAAGATCTTTTCAGATCTTTGGAAATAAACCAGATAAATTAAAAAATTTAGCCATATAACCCAAAATGTATCTAAGACATGTCTCAATCAATTTAGAGGTTTATTTTGCCAAGGTTAGGGTTCACTTGGCAAGGTCAGTGACACACTCTTAGGAGGTCCTGAGCACATGTGCCCAAGGTGGTTGGGTTACAGCTTGATTTTATACATTTTAGGGAGACATAAGTTACAGATAAATACATAAATTAATATATTTAAGGTATATATTTGTTTGGCCCAGAAAAGTTGGATATCTGAAAGTAGGTGGGGGGTTAGGGGTGGACAGGGGGCTTCCAGGTCATAGACGGATTAGAAGATTTCCTGATTGGCAATTGGTTGAAAGAGTTAAGCTCTGCTTGAAGAATTGAATTCAGTATAGAAAAATGCTTGTGTTTAGACAAGGCGGTTGTGGAAGCCAGGGTTCTTGTCATGTAGATAAAGCCTCCAGGTAGCAAGTTTCAGAGAGAAGAGATAGTGAATGTCTCTTATCAGACCTTAAATGTGTCAGACTCTCTGGGAAAGACTGGTAAAGGAAGGAGATTCTTACAGAATGCAAATTTCCCCCACAAGAGATAATTTGCAGGGTCATTTCAGAATATGTCAAAGAAATATGTTTTGGGGTAAAATACTTTTATTTTCTTCAGGGCCTACCATCTGTCACGTGATCCTAAACTAGAGTCAGGTTGGAACTCAGTGTCTTATTGCTACAAAGAGTCTGTTTTGTTCATTTTAAGATATCTGTTTTAATGTTAATGCTGGTCAGTTGTGTCTAAATTCCAAAAGGAAGAGGCTATAATGCTGTATATTTGACCCCTAATTCCTGTCATGGCCTGAACTAATTTTTCAGGCTTCTTTGGGGAAGCTTTTGCAAAAAGAAGGGTCCATTCAGTTGGTTAGGGGGCTTAGAAATTTATCTTTGGTTTACGACCAGTATATTCCACCTGCATTTCATTTTCACTCGCACTCTGCATGTGCCCCTTCAAACCTCTAGACTTTTGTAGCTTCCTATCCTCTCTCACCTTCCTGACCAACCTAAACAACTCATCAATATTCTCAGACACCTTACCGTAACATCATCCTTATGTCCCAACATTTCGTTATTATCTGACTAGTTTAGTCACCCATTCCTGAGAAGCTAAGTCTCAATGGAAAAAAAAAAAAAAAAAGATTTGTCTGGGTGCTGTGGCTCATGCCTGTAATCCCAGCACTTTGGGAGGCTGAGGCGGGTGGATCATGAGGTCAAGAGATCGAGACCACCCTGGCCAACACGGTGAAAACCCATCTCTACTGAAAATACAAAAATTAGCTGAGCGTGGTGGCATGCACCTGTAGTCCCAGCTACTTGGGAGGCTGAGGCAGGAGAATTGCTTTAAGCCAGGAGGCAGAGGTTGCAGTGAGCCAAGATTGTGCCACTTCTGTTCAACATAGTACTGAAAGTTCTAGCCAGACTATTAAGCAGGGAAGAAAAAGTCATCCAAATTGGAAAGAAAGAGTAAAATTATTTCTATTCACTGGTGATATGATCTGATAAGTAGAAAACCCTAAAGGCACCACTAAAAATTGCTAGAACTAATAAATTCAGTAAAGTAGCAGGATAAGAAGTCAGCACGCAGAAATCAGTTGCATTTTTATACACTCACAATAATCTAATGTCAATCAAGAATCTGTTTTGAAAATGTTAAGTTTGAAATTCTTACCCTATAACCAAGTAATGATGATGATAATTTACATAAATATACAGCCTATGATTCTAAGAAAAGAGTCTGTTTAAAGACATAGATTTGGAAGTCATTGAGGTATAGCTTGTAGTTAAGGCTCTTTGTGTCAAATTCTATCAATTTCTTTTCCTTCCATGTAAAATGTAACCTAATTTTCACCCATCCTAACTTTCTTTGTACTAGTCTAATAAGCCTTTTTCCTTTCCAGTATCGCATATATTCACAACCCATATTTCCCAATGCAGCCTCTATAGCCACATTTAACTCACATCTCATCTTCAGTATGTCGACCCTATGTCTAAATTTTTTGTTGTGTCTGATTTCTTATTACAGATGTAGACATCACTATTTTACTGCTTTTCCTCAGCTAAAAGCTCATTCATCATTGATTCTTTCATTGCTTCCACCTGTAGCATTCAACTGGTTGTCAACTTTTGCTATATATTGCCTTATAGTGATTCTCATATCTAACCTCCTCTGTGCTTCTCATGACCTCCCAAATCTTAAGCTTGAGTCTGGTGCCTTAGATCAATCAGCCCTCCTGACACTTGACCTCCCAAATCTTATTCAGAATTATATAGCTAACAGTTGACTCTACCAGTCTCCCATCCACCCTAAATTGCAATTCTGTCAGCCTGTGTTCCGTTCCAGAAACATTCCACTTTCCAGGTATTTAAAAATTCCCTAGCCTCAAGTATGTTTAAATTCCACTGGTACTTCATGAATTATCTCCAGTATTACCTCTTCTGGGGTACCTTCCTTGACTCCAACTCAAAATTAATTTCCGCTATCCACTACTTTTATAGTACTCTGTTTATCTATGTTTGCGTTTGGCATAACCTGACTTTATATCCTGGTATGCATACTTGTGTGTTTCCTTCTCTCTTTGGTGTAAGATCTTTAAGGATATAAACTATTCTTACTCATCATTGTCTCTTCAAGAACCAACAAGGTAGCTGGCAACTAGGTATCCATTAAATATTGATCCAATTTAAGTTACATATGTGATATGGCTTGGCTGTGTCCCTACCCAAATTTATCTTGAATTGTAGTTTCTGTAATCCCCGCATGTCGTGGGAGAAACCAGGTGGAGATAATTGAATCATTGGGGCAGTTTCCCCCATTCTGAGTTAGTTCTTACGAGATCTGATGGTTTTATGGGGGCTTCCCCCCTCGCTAGACACTCATTCTTCTCCTTCCTACTGCCATGTGAAGAAGGATGTGATTGCTTCCCTGTTTGCCATGATCGTAAGTTTCCTGAGGCCTACCCAACTCTGCAGAAAGGTGAGTCAATTAAACCTCTTTCCTTTATAAATTACCCAGTCAGTCTCAGGCATGTCCTTACAGCAGCATGAGATCAGACTAACACAATATGTAATTTGGGTTTTTGTAACAGATATTTCCTAAATAATAAATGACATTCCCAATTCCTTACTAAGTTGTTCTTTCTCATAGTTTAAGTAAGGTTTATCCATCTGACTCCATGCTGGGAAAGAAAACACGAATCCTGGCCAGAGGCCCCTTTAGTGTGTAGAATAGCTTGATTGATGTACTTTTCCACCATCTATGAGAAAAGAGAGCTCTCTCTTTTGCTTTGAAGAAGTGTCTTATCAAAAACATTTCTGAGGGGTTACCCATTAACTTCAGAACGTTTTATTATTTCCTCTGTAGACTGATTCCAAATTATCTCCCCCACAATTTTCTTGTAGTTTTTTCACCTGATAGTCTCTAGGTATTCTACAGTCACCCTCACTATGAGAAGAATAAGTGCTGAAAGTAAGACAGAGGTCACACTCCCAGAAGTGAGGACTTATTCATGCAATATGCATTGATTAAGTGCTCATTGTATATAGAGTAGAATACTAAATGCTGTGGAGGACCACAGAAGAAATAAAAGATGAGGGTTCTGTCTTCTTTTATTTTAAAAAATGGATTTGTAGGGGAGACAAAGATAACATAGATTAAAAACTTGAGAATGACAGTGTATTAGTAAATTACAAAATGTACTTATAATGTAAGTAATGCAAAGGATGGTATTTGAAAGGATGATCCCATCTCAAGGTGATTTGTTCTTTTTTCTTATGTCTTATGCTATGCCCATTTGCCTGCATGTCCCAGTACTTCTCCCTTTTACCAAAATTAAGTTTATTTTAGATCCTTCCAGAAGACTTCTTTGGCTATTCCAGCCAACAGTTGTGTTCCACTTTTCAACACTATAACACTTATTGTTTGTTACTCTCAGTTGGCTGTCATCACATAATTCCTTATTATCTTATCCATAAGCCAGTAAAAATCATCACTGTATACTGAGGTCCTATTGTGAGGGCTACTATGCGTTAAGCATGGCAGATGGATTATTTCTTGTAAATGCCACAAGACCCTATGAGGTGTAATTGTTTTGACTGTCATTTTACAAATGCAGAAACAAAACTATTTAATGTACCCCAAACTTCATAGATCTGAATTCTAGTCAATCTAAATCCTAAAAACATACCCTAAATGTACTTCTCTGGAATAGTTCTCAGCATTTTTGGTGGGTGATGGTAAGGGGAGCATGTCACTCATCCCACTGAAAATTTGATAAGTTTGATTGCCATTTCTCTCAACATATGATTGCATCTTTTGGGCATAAGAAACCCAGAATAAACTCAACTAAAATCAAAAGAAAATAAGTAATAAAGATGAGGACAGAAATAAATGAATTAGAAAATAGATACAATAAGGTATATAAACAAAGACAAAAGTTGGGTCTTCAAAATTTGAAAAACAAACACATGTACACACACAAAAAAACCCTGGATAAATTGATTAAGAAAACAAGAAAATAAAGCACAAATTAAGAATTTTTGAACTGCAAAAGAGGATGAAATTATAAAAATTTAGAAGAAACATCAGAAATTTAAAAGAAAAGTAAGCATACTATAAATAATAATTTAAGTAAATGATTTTGAACATAAATAAAATGCACACATCCATGGGAAAAAATCTAGGCTCAGCATCATGGTTCATACCTGTAATTCCAGCCCTTTGGAAAACTGAGGTGGGAGGCTTGCTTGAGACCAGGAGTTCAAGACTGGCCTGGGCAACATAGGGAGACCTCATCTCTACAAATAATGTAAAAAATTAGCCACATGTGGTAGTGCCTGTAGTCTCAGCTACATTGGAGGCTGAGGTGGGAGGATTGCTTGAACCTGGGAGGTCAAGGCTGCAGTGAGCCATGATTGTGTCACTGCATACAAGCCTAAGTGACAGAGCAAGACCCTGTCTCAAAAAAAAAAAAAAAAAAAAATTAAAAATCTAACCAAAATTGACTCAAGAAAGAATAATAATTCTATAATCACTACATATATTGAACCCTGAATTTAAAAAATTTCCACCAAGAAAACATCACAGTATCTAACCATTGTGGTAAAATGCCATCTTTAAGGAATATATTCCAATCCCATAAAATTCTTTCAGAGGAAAGTATGTAATCCTCCCAAACTTATTTTATGACGCTACTACTGTCATAATGTAAACCAGTGAAGGACAGTCCAAAGGAAAGAAAATGAGATACCAATTTCTCTCAAGAATACAGGTTCAAATGTCCTAAACAAAACATTAGCAAACCTGATCCAGCAATGTTTAAAAGAAATGCATCATGACCAAGTCAGTCATGATGTCAATGGATTTGACATTAGAAAATATATCTATATAAATTCTTACATTAACATATTAAAAAAGAAAAATAATGTAACTCAACTGAAGCCAAAAATTAAATGTCATAGCCATTCATGAATGAAAAAACATCACTAAACCCAGAGTAGAAAGAAACTTCTTTAATCTGATAGTTTTAATTAAAAAACACTACAACAAAGATCATATTTAATTTTGAAATGATTAAAACATTTCTTTTTAAAAAAAGAATAAAACGCAAGAATGTCTAGCAGCACTTCTGTTCAGCATGATGTCTCATCACCCACGTGAAAACCCAGTTCCCAGTCCCCACTGCCTTTAAGGTAAAATTCAAGCAGAGATCTCTGAGTGACATGAGCTCTCACAGACCTACCCATGCTCATTCCTGGGTCCTTTCAATCTTTCTCTATGCCCCTTCCCAATTTTTCCCTGAGCAATACCCTAAATAATCCACTGGCATCAGCTCTAACTTAGTGTATCTGCTAGGTAGGTCAGGAAGGACCACTCAAACTCACCAGAAGATGTCTTCTTCATCTCTAAGTGCCAACCCTCTAGACTTGTTTGGAAGTCTCCTAACATGGCATGTGGTTTCAGTCACCACTCTGTACCTCTGCATGTGCCGTCTCCTTCACCTCCTGCCTTCTCTCCTCCCTTCTGCATCATGAATCTGCCATACCCTTCAAAAATGCAATTGGGAAAGTGATCTCCTGAGTGACTGTGTCAATGACTGTGGGGGCAGTTACCAACAGCAGGGAGGAGCAAGATCTCTGGTGACTCTTCTTTTTTTTTTTTTTTTTTTTTTTCTGAGACAGAGTCTTGCCCTGTTGCCCAGGCTGAAGTGCAGTGGTGCGATCTGAGCTCACTGCAACCTCCACCACCTGGATTGAAGCAATTCTCCTGCTTCAGTCTCCCGAGCAGCTGGAATTACAGGCAACTGCTACTATGCCTGGCTGATTTTTTGTATTTTTAGTAGAGATGGGGTTTCTCCGTGTTGGCCAGGCTGGTCTTGAGCCCCCAACCTCAGGGGATGCACCCACCTTGGCCTCCCAAAATGTTAGGATTACAGGCATGAGCCACCACGCCCAGCTGACTCTTCTTACAAGGGCACTAATCCTAGCTGACTTGGGCTTCACCCTCATGATATCATCTAACTGTAATTTCCTCGCCAAAGCCCCACTCCCAAATGTAATTTGACTATTAACTGAAGAATCACTTCATAAATATACAGCCTCCCAGAGTGACTGAAGGATAGCAAGTGTTTGGTTGCTTTTTTCTGGCATGTTTATTTTTGAAATAATCCATCATTTCCTCGAAGCCATTTCCAATTATACACATAAAAGAAATTTATCTTTTTTCTTAATGACCGTAGTACTTCATCTATGCCTGACTGAAAACCCTGACTACTCTTTATCTTTTATTATAAATTTTCGTCTGTAAATCTTATCTTTCCTATTAAGCAGTAAGCCCCTTATCTAATCTACCTTTATATATATATCTCAAATAATCTTAACAAATATGTCAGTCTCTCCTGAAAGAAATGAATGAAAATGAACAAAACAATAGATAACATATCAGATACTTAATATGTTCTCTGTGTTATGATAAGCACTTTGCATGTATTATTTAATATACACATGCAAATTATTCTAAATGGATTCCATTAGTAACCCCTCTACACAAACGAGGAAACAGAGACCCTGAGAGGTTTTGAAAAAAAAACAATATGTCCAAAGTCACATGACTGTAATGATCAAAACCAGTTTTGCAGGTGGGGCTATCACACAGCCAGTAAGCTTAACTTCTGTGCTCTTATGTCTCCCTACAAACAGTCCTGTAAGAGACAGCAATGAATATAGGAAAGCCTCTAGTTTGGCAATGAACTCTTGCTTTCTTAGTCTGCTTAGGCTATCATAACAAAATACCATAGATTAGGTGTCTTAAACAACAGAAATTTATCTCTCACAATTCTTGAGGCTGGGAAGAAAGTCCAAGATCAAGGTGCTGGCCAAATGGTTTTCATTCTGGGGCCTCTTCTTTCGAATTGTAGGCAGCCACCATCTGTCTGTGTGCTCATGTGACTTCTTCTCTGGGCTGGTGGGGGCAGCGGGAGGAGCAAGCTCTCTGGTGACCTTTCTTATAAGGGCACAAATCCTAGTTGACTTGGGCTTCACCCTCATGACGTCATCTAACTGTAGTTTCCTCCCCAAACCCCACCTCCAAATACCATTATATTAGATGTTGAAGCTTCGACAAATTTTGGGATTTTGAAGGGACATAAACATTCAGTCAATAACCCCCTTTCCTTATTTTATTTTATTTTATTTTATTTTATTTTATTTATTTATTTATTTTGAGACCAAGTCTTGCTCTGTTGCCCAGGCTGGAATGCAATGGTGGGATCTCGGCTCACTCTCACCTCTGCCTCCCGGGTTCAAGCGACTGTCCTGCCTCAGCCTCCCAAGTAGCTGGGATTGCAGGTGCCCACCACCATGCATGGCTAATTTTTTGTGTGTGTGTGTTTTTAGTAGAGACAAGGTTTTACTATGTTGGTCAGGCTGGTTTTAAACTCCTGACCTCAGATGATCCACCCACCTTTTTTTAAACAATCAACATTTACTTTCTTACAGTTCTGGAGGCTGGAAATCTCAGATCAAAGTGTCAGCAGGTCAGGTTTCTCCGGAGACTTCTTTCCTTGGTTTGCAGACAGCTGTCTTCTCACTGTGTCCTCACAAAGCCTTTTCTCTGTGCATGAGCACTGCTGGTCCCATAACACTTGCAATTAAAATAAAAAAATAAACAAAAACCTGAATGTTTAACCCAGCTCTTCCTGCTGAGAAAACTCAGGAAATCATTTGCCTCTCAGCCTTAGTCTTCCAAAGTGTAAAATAGATTTTATAGGTGGGTTTGAAGGTTGCTTTTACTCTGTGATTTTGTGCGCTATCAAACTTGTTTACCATATTTCCTTAATACAAACACCCTCTTGCAGAGATTCTTTACCAAACTTCCTATGTGATCTAGTTCAACTCACCTCTATGCCTTTACATTCTGTCTTTCCAATTCAAAGCACCTTGTCCCTTGCTCTTGGCTGGTCCAGTCCTACTCTCCTTAAAGACACCACTTCCATCCTGCCTTTCCACGAAGGCCATGCCAGCCCACAATAATCCCCATCCGCCCAGAGGAGCATAGCACTTTCTCTTTTACATTGTTCTTTAGTCATTTATTGCATGTTGTTTTGCCGTGGCATTTGAAATAGAAGTTCCTTAAGTTTAAAAATTGTGCCCTTTTTAAATGTTCTACAGCATGTACCACAACCATGGATGCACTATAAAAACATTTTATTATTTACTTGGGGAAAAAAAATGTCCGATGCTTAACGAAGAGAAAACACTGTGGGAAAATCTAAAGAGTTTACAGGATTACTTAGAAGCTTTGGTATGACATTGTCCAAGGTCACGGTATATCAGGAAATCAGAAGGAGTTATATTGAAATCATGGCCCATAGGGTAGACCTCTGTAAAGGTCTTCTGTTGACACAGCTGCATAATACAAGACAGAATGAGATTCATGTCTATTAAAATCAGCATTCGTTACTACACAGCCATACAAAAGAGCGAGATCATGTTCTTTGCAGGAACATGGATGGAGCTGGATGCCATCACCCTTAGCAAACTAACCTAGGAACAGAAATCCAAATACCACATGTTCTCACTTATAAGTGGGAGCTCAACTATGAGAACACATGGACACATAAAAGGGAAAAACACACTGGGGCCTACTTGAGGGTGGTGGGTGGCAGGAGGAAGATCAGAAAAAATAATTATTGGGTACTAGGCTTAGTATCTGGATAATGAAATAATTAGTACAACAAGTCCCCGTGACATGAGTTCACTTATATAATAAACCTGCACATGTACCTCTGAACCTAAAATAAAAGTTAAAAAAAAAAAATCAGTGTTCCTTGAAAAAAAAAAAAAAACTGGCTTTTTTTTTTTAAAAGGAAAAAAACAACATCAAAATTCCAAAAACGAGTAACCTACAAGCAATAACACAACAATGACAAAGCCTGTCAACCATCAAAAATGTCAGGAAAATTATAGTTAAAGCAGTGATGAGCACAGATTTTCTTTCCCAAGCATGATCACTGGAGAGAACTGGAGAGAACTGACAGACTGGGCTGTTTGAACAAGCTGGTGATTGGGTCATTTCTCTTTAGCCCTGTCCAGTTGGATACTTGTCCATGATTCGTAGTCTCCTCTCAAAATACAATCATCTCCATCTCCTCCTCTCTTCAATTTATGTTAGCTTCACTTCCTGCTTCACCAAGGAAAAAGAAACTAAGAGAAAGGAGCTCACTCAACTTACGTAGTTCTCCTTTCTCTGCTGCCTCATCAGGGACTCCCTCCCTCAATTATTCCCCAGATCTCAGGTATGGTCACCTCTCCCATCCTATTCTCTCTCCTAACAGCACTTAAAGAATTTCAAAATCTCTTCTATCTGAATAGAAAAAAAAAAAAAAATCCCTGCATCTCATTTTTCCTACCCCACCTCTTCTGACCTTCAGCGCCAAACTGCATTAAAAATTGAACTCTCTGCTATCGCTCTCCTTACCTCCTATTATCTAGTTAACCAGTTGCAGTCTGCTTCATAACATCATGAACCCTGAAATAATAAACAGTGCTCTCAAGGTCATTAAGCACCTATTTTGTTGTCAGATTCTGTAGAGTTTAGAAGTGGCTTTGAGCTCAGAGGCTCTCGGGTGTGACGCCTAGCTCCTCTGTTTACCAGCTGCTTGACTCTTTGCAGTTGCTTAACTTTAAACCTCATTTCCCACCTATGTAAAATGAATATAACAAATTCTTCATCGGAGGACTGTCCTGATAATTAGGTGAGGAAATGTGTCTGATGACCTTGACTTGATTCCTGTCTACTGTTGATTTCTCTACACCTTTGATCCTGTTGTTGCCCTCCTCCTTCTTGACCTCCTGTCTCTTCTTAGCTTTTAATGTCATGGGTTGTTTTTGCAATGCTAATCATATCCTTCTCCAATGGTTCCCCAAAAAATTTAGAAATGTAATAGAAATCATATCAGAGTTGGCTGGACACGGTGGCTGGCGCCTGTAATCCCAGCACTTTGGGAGGCAAAAGCAGGTGAATCACCTGAGGTCAGAAGTTCGAGACCAGCCTGGCCAGAATGGTGAAACCCTGTCTCTAATAAAATACAAAAATTAGGCCGGGCGTGGAGGTTCACGCCTGTAATCCCAGCACTTTGGGAGGCCGAGGCGGGCGGATCACGAGGTCAAGAAATCGAGACCATACTGGATAACACGGTGAAACCCTGTCTCTACTAAAAAATACGCAAAATTAGCTGGGCACGGTGGCGGGCACCTGTAGTCCCAGCTACTAGGGAGGCTGAGGCAGGAGAATAGCGTGAACCTGGGAGGCAGTGCTTGCAGTGAGCCAAGATCGCACCACTGCACTCCAGTCTGGGCGACAGAGCGAGACTCTGTCTCAAAAAAATAAATAAATAAAAAATAAAAATAAATAAAAATTAGCTGGATGTGGTGGTGGATGCCTGTAATCCCAGCTACTCAGGAGGCTGAG